ATTCCAGAAATTTACAACATCTAAGATCAACGAAAATGCTCAACTGCTTAGAGTTGTGAGCCCAAAAACAGCACAAACAAAAAATAAGGTGGTCATCAGAAAATCAGCCAACCTGTTTATCCCATCTTCTGGGTTGAACTTGTTCAGAGTGACGCAAGTAATGTTGATATCAACCTCTTTGTACCCCTGTGAGCACTGAATGAGAAGCTTGCTACCCGGGGAGATGTACGGAGTTGGTCCTGTTATTTTGCCGTTGGGGACTACTGTATCCTCATCACAGTTCTGAGCTGTGGGGTTTTTATTATTAACATATTAATATATTATGTCATTATTAACATATCAATTTATTATGTCATTATTAACATATTATTATTATGTTATTATTAACATATTATGTCATTATTAACATATTATGTTATTATTAACGTTTAAATCATTCAGGCACATGATAATATTATAAGCAGAACTGATCTACATAAATTGCACATACAAATTGAAAGGAAAACAGTATGAGTAATAGTTTCAATATTCAAATTGACATTATAAGTCAGTCTAAACTGCACCTACCATTGCATGTGGGAAGATTAAAAGGATCAAATATGTTGTTTGTCACACATTTGATCTTGTTGTTGGAACTGCTGAGAAGGTAACCAATATCACACTCAACCGCAACTTTTACATCAGGATTTATTGTGTCTCCACTTGGAACCAGTTTACCATTAACAATGTCAGGAGCATCGCATACTTTGGCATTGCATAGTGGTTCAGATGGCTTGTAACTCCTGCGATGAAGTCAAATTGTGATATAATACTTTTCAGTTCGATAAGTTAACACCTTTGTCACTTGAGAGACAAACTTATTTGTTCATTATTAGCAATCCAGAAATTAGTTCAAACTATATTGATAATCTAGGACTTTTTAATATATAAATATAAACAAAATAATCTTGCTTACCCATCATCCTGACATACACTCTTTGTATTACGTGAAAGTTCATAATCAGTACCGCACTGAACTGTCAATGCCTCCCCGATGTTCAGCTCTTTGTTGTCATGATTTGTCACAAAACCATTGGTGATGATGGGTATGTAGCAGGTAACAGGGGGGTCATCTTGTTCCAAAGTGGCACTCAATGTGAATAAACAGAGTATACCTGACCATCTAAGGATCATTCTATAACAGTATAATTGATTATTTAATCATTCTAAAATTAGAACAATTAAAAGAAATTGTGAAAATTACACCTAGAGCATAGTTGACATAGTGCTTCAGACCCTATCAAGTCTCTGAATGAAGACTCTCAAAGGCATAGAAGCACTGAGCAGTTGATTTCGGTTGCTGAGCCATCTAAGACTTTAAACCACGTCTGGTCAATATGACGTAATACTAATGAACAACTTAGTAATTTAGCTTTTAATGTATGATTCAATTAAAATCAAACTTTTCAATTTTAAGTAATGTATGTATCAACAGCAGTGGTGTAATATTACTATTTGGCACGTGGTCGCATTTCCGTGTAAAACCCAAAAACAAATTAACATTAAGATGTGATACCTTTGAGAGGTAAATTTCTGACGAATCACAACTGTAGGCCTTCTTAAGAGTAAGGTAGATGTCGCGAAGTAACATTCTGCCTCATAGCTCATAGGGCACTTTCAAAAACTATGTTAACGAATCTGTCACGGGAAAAATTTCAACTTCTAGAAAATCTCATTTGTTGAATATACTCAATATTTTGATAAAACTGTGTGACATCTACAGATTTGTGATAGTACAACTTTTACAAAAAGAATAAAATGTCTACTATGCCGCGCCTATGAGCAGAGATACATGCATTTAAATCCGGGCTAATAATGGTGGATATACTTTTCAGAAGGGTTTGGTGGATATATCATTGATTGGCCTGTAACTTTACTTGTGGTTAATTTAAGGTGATCATTTAAAGATAGAATTGTAGCAAATCGATTTGCCTCTATGATAAGAGGCAAAAATGAGGAAAGATTTCAAATTTAAGGCTATATATGGTGGATAATAAAACTATGAAATAAAATTCAATACCGAAAATTTTCAACTGAAAAAATTATATTGGTCAGCAAGTTCATCAGCTTTACTCAGTTACCGGATCAGGTTGGAAATCGTTTCAAGTTAATGATAGAATAGAAGATTTACTTTCTAGGCCATTTTTGGTGGATAATATACTGGAGCTTCAAGATAAATTTTATTTTAAAGCCAAATTCTGTGTCAATAATGCAGGTTATCCATTGTTAGACCCCAATTATCTTGTCTAGAAGCTGAAAATGCTTACAATTACTACTCTAGGGCCATAACAAATGGATATAGTTTCATACGAACTTAACAAACTGTTTCCTTTCAGCCTTTAGAGCCGTTTTTGGTGGATAAAATCACACAAACGGGAAAATTTGCTTTTTTATCCACTATTTTTGGCCCTAGGTGTGTTCTATCATGAAACTACAATAGAAAATCCCCTTTGCTGAGTCAGTTCAAAAGAATTTTCAGTCCAAAACAACTTTTAAGGTTAAAATTGGTGGATATTAAATGTGAATAACCTACCTCAGTGATTGAAATAACGATTACTTGGCTGATAACGTATGTAAACACTAGGGTTATTTTTAACATTTCATAGAAAAATGTTGTGACATAACAAAATTTACCTAAGGACCCCAGGCTATTATCATTATGTTCATTAACATAGAGATTAGGTTGTAGGTTTACAACCTACCAGGACGCGCGCCGAGTTGGACTCGTCGACGGTCCTGGTAGGTAGAAATACGACTCAATTACGGCAGAAAAGTGCCGTAGATGCTGATTGGCTGAGACGTTTGCGCCAATAGGAGAGCTTATATTGAGTCACGTGAGCTATGCGCGGCGTAAAATCACTCTGCAGTTCGAAATTCTGTGATAAAATCGAGCGCTCATCAATTTTGTCTGGCTCTGTAACTTCACTTCCTAACGTAGTTTATAATCGATTCACTGTTGTTTTGTTCGCTGTCTATGACCGTATTGAAATTAAGCTTAACATTTGATAACAGATTCTATTCACTTCCAGCTTTAATTTGATCGCTTGCTGAGTTGCATGTCATTTGTTTGATTGTTTCCAGATTCAATCTGACCGGTGTATCATCAATCAATATTACGGTTCAGTCATTCAGTGGGCCATAATTAAGCTGCTACCTGCATATGCAGATGAACAAACGAATATTGTGGTGCATGCCAATGTAAATGAAGGTTTTTGTCGCTTACCTTAGTGTACTTTTGAAGATCAAACATATTTTTGCTATTGGCATTGTCGATGCGACCTAACCCGATCGTTTTTGCTATAACTATATCCCTTGAACTATTATATGTTCAAGACTAGAATTTCGAGTTCTCCTTATGCTGCAGGTACTCCAAATATCGTATGATAATAATAATCTAAATCATTGGCTAGAAATGACGTGACACACTTGTAATCCAGTGGCAGTAATGTTTATTAACGGCATTTCATGGAGTCCCTGTTCATTTTACCAAATAATGAACTGTGACTAAACTTCCAAGTTGAATTCTTTAACTTGCCCCTCGGACGTTATTCCACAGTAACAGACCTGATACAACGTGAGGGACACCAGTTATATATCGGTTATTAGATATAAGGCTGATGTGTTAAGTTATTAATTGTTTCTAAGGTGTGTCCCAATTCCCATACATCCGTTTACACTCAGTGTGTACTGAACGATTTGCTTATGATAACAAGAACCCATTTGTGTATTAAAACATAGACCTCAGTTTGTAAAGTAAATCTTTTGAGTTTGAACACCTCCTAGTTACCATGGTGATAATTCCAGAGATATCACGCGATTTGCTAACCAAGTAAATTGTTATAATTGAATGCGTAGAGTACACTAATCATTGGCTTTTACTTTTAGTGGCAGTAATTTTTATTGAATTCTTTAACTAGCCCCTCAGACGTTTCCATAGTAACAGACCTGATATACCTAATAACGTGAGGGACACCAGTTATATATCGGTTATTAAATGTAAGGCTACTACGATTAGCTATTAATTGTTTCTAAGGTGTGTCCCAATTCCCATACATCCGTTTACACTCAGTGTGTACTGAACGATTTGCTTATAATAACAAGAACCCATTTGTGTATTAAAACATAGACCTCAGTTTGTAAAGTAAATCTTTTGAGTTCGTAAAGTAAATCTTTTGAGTTTGAACACCTCCTAGTTACCATGGTGATAATTCCAGAGATATCACGCGATTTGCTAACCGAGTAAATTGTTATAATTGAATGCGTAGAGTACACTAATCATCATGGCTTTTACTTTTAGTGGCAGTAATTTTTATTGAACTGTGACTAAACTTCCAAGTTGAATTCTTTAACTAGCCCCTCGGACGTTTCCATAGTATAAGTAACATACCTGATATAATAACGTGAGGGACACCAGTTATATATCGGTTATTAAATGTAAGGCTACTACGATTAGCTATTAAGTGTTTCTAAGGTGTGTCCCAATTCCCATACATCCGTTTACACTCAGTGTGTACTGAACGATTTGCTTATAATAACTTTTTCGGATTCTTAATTTTGTAACGGTTTGAGTTTTACTAACCTTTTAACATTTTTTAGGTTCAATGTCACTGGAGATGACTACAATCGAAATATATTTGGCAAGAATCTGAATGTTTTCAGTGTTGAAAGTTTAGTTTCTTAAATCCTGGAGTAGTCATTCGTGTCCCTGATATTTGGGTTAATTCTAACTCTGCTTATAATAACAAGAACCCATTTGTGTATTAAAACATAGACCTCAGTTTGTAAAGTAAATCTTTTGAGTTTGAACACCTCCTAGTTACCATGGTGATAATTCCAGAGATATCACGCGATTTGGTAACCAATTAAATTGTTATAATTGAATGCGTAGAGTACACTAATCATAATGGCTTTTACTTTTAGCGGTAGTAATTTTTATTGAACTGTGACTAAACTTCCAAGTTGAATTCTTTAACTAGCCCCTCGGACGTTTCCATAGTAACAGACCTGATATAATAACGTGAGGGACACCAGTTATATATCGGGTATTAAATGTAAGGCTACTACGATTAGCTATTAATTGTTTCTAAGGTGTGTCCCAATTCCCATACATCCGTTTACACTCAGTGTGTACTGAACGATTTGCTTATGATAACAAGAACCCATTTGTGTATTAAAACATAGACCTCAGTTTGTAAAGTAAATCTTTTGAGTTTGAACACCTCCTAGTTACCATGGTGATAATTCCAGAGATATCACGCGATTTGCTAACCAAGTAAATTGTTAAAATTGAATGCGTAGAGTACACTAATCATCATGGCTTTTACTTTTAGTGGCAGTAATTTTTATTAAACTGTGACTAAACTTCCAAGTTGAATTCTTTAACTAGCCCCTCGGACGTTTCCATAGTAACAGACCTGATATAATAACGTGAGGGACACCAGTTATATATCGGTTATTTAATGTAAGGCTACTACGATTTGATGTCGATTCGGGGACTGGACAAGGTGATGTGCAAGGGCCCCCTATTTTTAATCTTGTACTTAACTGGGGATTAGAACTTGCAGAGAAGTTTAAGAATATATCCCGTGGTTTTACACTTCAGTACAGACAAAGTTCCAGACAACCGGAAAAATGTGTCATTGATCTTGACTATGCTGATGACATCGCAGGAATGGATGACACTGTTGAAGGACTGCAAGAAACTACGGACAATATTGCGAAATACTGTGGACTTGGGGGTTTAAAGATGAACGCAAAGAAAACAGAGATCATGGTCATTGGGAAAGATACATCGCAGCACCCACTCCCAGAGAATAGGACCATAGATATAACTGTCGATGGAAACTCTGCAAAGCAGGTCACTCAATTCACTTATTTGGGTGCCAAAATTACATCAGATGGCAAGATTGATAAAGAAATAAGTGTCAGGATTGGAAAAGCAACCGGAGCTTTTAACCAACTCAACAACATTTGGAAGAATAAGAACATAAGCATTAACAACAAAGTGCGAATCTACATCGCAGCTGTTCTTACCATTCTGACCTATGGATGTGAGATATGGAACACGACTCAAGTGCAGACAAGAAGATTGGAGTCTTTCCATCAGTACTGCTTAAGAAGAATCCTGAGAGTGAGGTGGTTCCATCGA